GGGGGGGGGGAAAAAGATGAGGAGAGTGTCAGAGGTGGACAGATGGAGAGGGAGACGAGGGGGGAGGCAGAGAGAGGAGAAACACTGAGTAGGAGAGAATTGCATGGATACACTGGTGGGCGCTAGGTGTGAGGACTCAACACCGCCAGCCAAACTTTAACAACATCTATTGCTATGGCAACACACATGTGACTGCAGGCGGACATGCAGCTATCACAAAGCTTCAGTGTGGCTCTCAGTAATAACTTGAATATTGATTTCATGTGTCCACTTCCCTGCCTATTCATATCACAACAACGCAGTCAGACGACATGTGCATGGATTACCATAGCTTCCAAAAGACGGTATGGTGTGATAGGAAAAGAGGCAAATGGCCGAATTTTTAACATCACAAGCGCAAAATACAATTATGAAACCTGACAATGAGCGTAATCGTTCCCCTTAAAGCTTTTCCAGCACCTCACAGCTGAGGTAACTTACATAATTGCAAACGGAACACTCATTTAACTTCTTTACTGAATTAAATGAGATGTTAATGTGCTATAAACAACAATATCATTTTAGTCAGACAAATGAAAGGGAAACATAACAAAGCTTCATGTTTCAAATGTGTCACCTCTTTGTGTGCATCCTATGTGATCCACATTTCAATCATCTTCAAGCACACATATTCAAGTGTATTCTTAGCACACGTAGGAGCGTGTAAATCAAGCGGCACAAAAAGGTGGCAAGTTTCTGTTCTCGTACAAACACAGCGAGGATGTGTCAGCTTTCCTTCAGGGCAGAAGTCCAATTGGGAAATCAATAGTCTTGTCCTGCCTTTTGTGGGATTGGGTTACACCCACACCCACACACACACACACACACACACACACACACACACACACACACACACACACACACACACACACACACACACACACACACACACACACACACGGTCTGCTGCAGTGCACACACACAGTTTTAAACATGATGCAGCACTGCAGCAGCAGACATTAAAGCAGACTCACTGCACTGGGAGAGCATGGAGGTAGAAAGATCTGCAATGCTGAGAAGTCAATCCTCAACTAACGGCCTCAGAACATTAAAACCCTGCTGTAACTTATTTAGATAAATACGTTGTGGTTGTATCTAGGACGCTGGATACAAAAAAGTGTGTAGAAGCCAAACAAAGAGTAGATTATTCGGTATCAGACGGGGTAAAATAAGAATACAACCGTGAATTATTTATTATTATATATCACATTTTTTCCCAGCAGTATATCCTATTGATTTGCCTCTCATCTACTATAGATAAATAAAATCATTGTAGTGCCAACATTTCTTTTTCTATCATCCTCTGGTTGCCTGGTCCAGCAAAACAGGGGGTTATCATTGGCCACCTGTTAGGGAATACAAAGCACAGTAGCATACTGCGCAAGCAACACATGCCCAAACCCAAACCCAAACACACACACACACACACACAAAACCCGTGCAGACATACAGCATGCAACCAGCCAGCCATGTGCAATGTGCAAACAGAGAGGGTCTGCACACATGCCACCAGCAGCTGCGAATGTCTTCCTCCATTTACCCCCTGCAGGATGCGCCTGATTGGCCGAGTGACGAGTCATGTCGATTCAAAAAGTATCTTGTCAATGTTGTCAACAAAACAAAAATGTGGCCGTCTGCTTCCTGCCGCACAGTTTCTAGCATTCCTTTCGTTCCAATGGTTCCATCCTTTCAATTTTGAAAAGCACACACACTTTCACACAAGTTGTTTTTATGTCCCGAATGTCTCTGTGGTCGTATGTCTTCATGAAACCGTGGGGGACATGGTTTCAAGGACAGTCTCTTGACAGTTGCCACGTACACGACAGAACAATGACAGATGACCACGGACCCGCGTGCACAAATTGAATTATATTGACAGGGCTGTGTCGGAGTTGCTAAGCGTCTCCACATGACACTGACACACAGCCATAAACCTCCTGACACACGAGCATCCCCACTTCCTGGGACAGTTTAAATGCAGGGGAGCAACTTCCTCCACTCCGCCGCGGGCTCCATCCCCGCTGCCGGGGTCCCAGTTAAAAACCCGGCTTCCTTTCCACATCCTCGTCTAAGCTTTGTAAACATCACAGCAAACCCCCCCCCCAAGAAGATAATAATATATGTCTGGGTCTTGGTCCGTTCACATCCTTTCTGTTAGTTGATATGTTAAAGCACTCTGTCCAGACATGCATTTACAAATTGGCACGGAAATATGCTATATTAATAATAATCAGAAGCATAACAAATCAAATAGCACCTAAAGGGTCACTTGATGTGTTCTGCTTCTGCTGTGGGTCTCGTGTGCTCTGTTGTTCTGCAGAGGGCCTCGACCCATAACTCTGCCTCCCTTATTAACAGAAGAATAAGGATCTGTGCTGATGTGTGTGTTCATATCGCGCGTGTGTTCTCTATCAAACCCCAGAGTCACAGAGCCAAGGCGCTCTAGGAAATGACTTGCTGGCCGGTCCTTGAAGATACGAGTGGAAAGAGTGAGACTGCAGATCAGCGATAGTGAGAGAAGAACGGCTCTGTGTGTGGAGCAGCTCTGTGCCACTAACCGCAGCACAGCTCGCCCTCACATGGTTCTACTTTAGTCGGGAATTATCTCCTTCGGCGAGGAGGACTCTCCTAAGAGTCCTCTTTCATTTAGCTTTGATTTACAAGGCCCTCTGACTGAGGCTTTTAAAGGGGGGAGAGAAGCCTCCCTTTCTACACCACGTCTGGATTGATCTTTCCCTACAACAAACACATGGATCCACAGTGTCACTCTCTAATGTGAAGCATCTACATGACAGATTGGACACATCAGGCACAGGAGAGAAAACACAGAGTTTCAGACCACCTTAAATCTAACTTTCAGCAGCAGCAGCAGCTTGTCAGAATAACAGCCTCTCATTTGTGCATGAGCTTGGCAAAGCTTACTGGCAGCGACGTCAATACTGTTTCACTCTGCTCTGAGTTTATTACCCACAGAAAGTAGCACTGGCAGCATTTACTCACTTAAGTTTACAGGAACTCTTACCTCTGAAGTGGCTTTCTCTCCTTCCTACTGGGGTTAAAGTTCAGACCCAAACCGCCAGTCCACTCCGCGACAGGGCCGTTCTCCTCTGAGAATGAAAAAGAGGGAAGAATAAAATCTTATTAGATACGAGTCAGCGTCTATGTTTTAGGACTATAGGAGGCTTTGTTACAGCATCTATTGGTCAGTCAAATCTTATAGCGTTTGTTTTGAGAGAGACCTGGCAGCCGGTAGCTGGAGGAAGGCAGACCCATTTCACTGTCACAAGAATGCGGAGGATTAACTGTGGAGTGTGCGTGAGCGAGAGACTTAACTAACTGCAGGCAAAAATTACACGCACAGCCAGAAAGCAATCAAGCCCAGTGCTGCCTTCATTATGATCGGGCTTCATTATCACTGCCGGATTAAGAGTGTGACATTTGAGCTGACGAGGACTTCTTCCTTTGACTACAAAGCCTTTTCTTTTCAGAGCCACACACGCAGGCGACTTCAAAAGCTTGCCAACACCGGCAGGCTACTCGTTTCACGACATGAGTCGGAGTAGAAACCAGAGTCAAAACTCTTATTTGAGTGTTGACTGTGACTCAGTTAGTCTGCTGACCGGTGTTGAAAATGTTTAACGAATCACCAACTCGTCAGTGCTGAGTCACATCAGCATAACCTTTTTTTATCCAAAACAATCTGGATGCTGAGTCACAGTCTGGTAATAGGATATCATTCAGGCACACAACCTGTTGACTGGAGGTTATAATGGGCTGATATTTGTGTGTGTGTGAGAGAGAGAGAGAGAGAGAGAGAGAGAGAGAGAGAAAGAGAGTGTGTGTGTGTGTGTGTGTGTGTGTGTGTGTGTGTGTGTGTGTGTGTGTGTGTGTGTGTGTGTGTGTGTGTGTGGTAGGCAGCTGATGTTGTGGCTGCCGACTAGGAAGCTATTCCTGCTGGCTTCAGCTGTTCTTTTTCTACACAACAACTGTTCAACAGCATGTGGCCCTTCCCTGGAAAGAGTGTGTGTGTGTGTTTGTTTTTTTGGATTTGTTACAAGGAGAGCGCGTCAGAAAGAGTCGGTGTGCATGTCTTTGCTCGTGCACGTCATCCATATATGTGTGTCATAAAACACACAATTGCCTTCTCAGGTTACAGGTCAGCCCCCTCCATCTCTCTCTGGCATTAAATGCACACACAGTTAATGTGTGATATCACTCAGTCAACACAAGGCCATTGAACAGGTGTGGCCGTGACACATGGGTCTGTGCAGCTGCAGAACAGTTGCTCCAGTCACAACAGCACGGAGCCGCAGGCAGCTGCTCCGCTGTTGGAAACAAAGGCCGGCCACAGACAAACATTAAGTAAATGTGATCAAAAAGCAAGGGCTGCACAAAATGGAGAGGACAAAAAGAACTTTAATCAAACAATTCCAGACACGAAAAAATACAATTTCCTATACCCCTTTTCCACCAAATTAGCACCCTTTTCCAGGAAGTGAAAACCAGCTGAAATAGGCATTGGACTCCTTTCCTGTTGCCAGTAAACAAGTAGGCTTCTATGTTATTTCTCCTGGAGTGTCACGCTCGACATCACATAGGTGGGAGCAGGAATAGTAAACAGTGAACATTTGACTTTCCTATTTGATATGCTCTCTTTCAAACTCTAAAACCAGAGGAGTGATGTTGGAGCAAGTGCATGAAGCCCTGAAAACAACATGCACTGCCAAAAAGGTGCCACGAACAACAGCTAGTTTCAGGAGACTTTTTATGTGGCCTAGCTTGGTGCCACACTTCAACAACAGACCAGGGGGAAACACAGAGCCCTATGTAGTGGACACAGGTGTGTCCTTGTCCACCCTCACTTCCCCCATTACCAGAAAATCCTTCTGGGCAGCTCATTTCCTGTCGTGGCAGGAAGTGGAAGGAGGGCAGCGCCGTGGGCGAGCTGAGGTGATGATGATGTCACAGCAGGAAAAGAAAGACAGGACTGTAGTAGGGGGGAAGTACAGCAAATGAGTAATAAGGTGGAGCTAAACAGTGGACAGTGTGTGGGGACTGGGAGAAGAACTTCCTCTGATGAGAATTTGTTAATAAAGTACTTTAGTGATGGTTTTATATTAAGTGACATTACAGAACGGCAGAAAGCGACACACTACACAGCGTCTTCGTTCTTCAGGATGACACAGCAGTGTAGATTATTACATGATACTAAAACTAAAAACATTCTATAAACCGTTAGAGGGAAGTATGATGTAACGACAGATTAATGATTACAGACCCATCCCACTCATTCTTGTCTTGCATGACAATATAGCACCTGGAGATGTGGTGAATTACAAGACATTGAAGTGCTTTGATCTGGTGTTCTCCTATCATTCACAACACAAAGTAGATATACTCCCTGAGTCCCTCCTGATCTGGGTAACAATGGCAGGACCTTGGGAGATGTATTGATCCGAGAAGGCCAACAGCATCCTAAATGTGCTCTCAGAACAAGATAAGGGCTCAGCAGTGACCCTGAGGTTCCTGTAAGGGCATTGAGGGGAGCCGTCAGAGGGCTGATTGATGGGAAGGTGCATTAGTATTGATCAGCCTATTGCTTTTATACCAATGCAAGTGCCACTCTTCAACCTCACATTGTTGACTTCCTAACCTCAGTACAGTAATTCAATACAAAACCACTTGAATATCGGATACGTTTTTGAGCTGTGTTCCTCCAAAGACCGCTGTTTTATTCAGTTTAAGAGGCTCATCAATGATTAATATGAACACAATGTGGGTACTCTGCGTCCCCCCCTCTCTCACACATTGAGGCCTGGTTGCGATTACAAGGAGCTGATCTGCTCTCCTCACTGGGATTCTCCACGGTCCGTGTAGGCCAGCACTCTCCTCTGGAAAAACCACACATGGTGGGAATTATGGAATAATGCTGCGTCAGGAATGTTCCCACGATGGCCAGTGGGATCTGATGGAGGTCCCATTGGCTGGCAAGCTGCCAGTGGGGTTTATGGGTAAAGTAACACACACATACAGTTACACGATCAAATGCCTCTTGTATTAGTCTACTAAGGGCCTTATCCTCTTGTGTTGAAGGAGAATGGTCCTTTGTGTGCACTGATTTCATTTCACTGCAGAGCAAATCAACTCTCAAAGCTCATCATTGCTTGATCACAGCTGATAGGAAAGAAATGTCACATGTCATTTAAACAGTTTCGTTGTAAGTCTCTCACCGACAGCAGTTAGGGGTGAGAGGGGTCAAGCTGACTGACCCCTGATATGCCCTCCCCATCGCCTTAAAGCAGGTCATGGTGCCAAACTCGGGGCAGATCTAGATTCAGCCACCGAGAAGAGTTGCCCCTTGAGGCACGTGGGCTGAAATAATCAGGATTCACTAGAGAGTGAAGATCAGCGGAGCAGAGAGAGATTAGCAAGCTACTCAGCCACTAACTTCACCAGAGACTCTTTCAATGGAGGCTCGGGCTCCCTCGCAGAGCTGCCAGGGTATTAGTCAATGAGATTTGGCAAAAGGCAGGCAGCCACACACACACACACACACACACACACACACACACACACACACACACACACACACACACACACACACACACACACACACACACACACACACACACACACACACACACACACCACTATTTTGTGAGATGAAGCCTGCAGGTTTGAGTGACTGTCAAGGGATTCTCGCGCAAAAATGTGTCAATCGGCTTCTGCAAAGGCATGCACGGCTGTGTTCTCGCTGCGTTGTAGGTCACTGGAGATTCCTGCAGTGTCCTACATGAACCTAAGAAGAAAAAAGAAAATGGAGCAGCCTGCCAAAGTTTGGACCGTACAGCAAATGTAGAGCCCTAACACGAAGCCAAGTGTTCAAGACTTTGGCAAAGGGAGACGGGGAATGACCTCAGTGTTTCCAAGCCGTCGTATTTCACATGACATCAGCTGCTGCGTTCTCATAACCCTTGTCTTCTCCGTCCGATACTTCTTTCCTCTCACTAATTTAGATATTTCCCCCTCTTCCTCACTGGTGTTTTACCGCTTTGCCAAAAACATTTGGGCTCTAGTGAAATGCCGCTGTGTGGTGCCTCTTGTGGCCGTTGCCTCGGGATGTCACGATCGGGCGATGTGACAAAGAATGGCTGCTTTCCAACCCCCTCTCTGGTTTCCCTGAGGCTTCACCGTACGCTCAAACACCGCCTGCATAGTGGAGCTACTTCTAACAGACATGAGTAACTTTCATGATTATGGGTGAGAGTGTAGTTGGGGGGGAAGTAGGTTACAGTGCATATTTAATGGCAAAACAGGCAATTTCAGCCCCAGTTTTTATGTGTACCCGCCTTGAACTGAACACACAGTTGGAGTGCTTAGCAGAATCTCTTTTCTTTGCGTGGCAATATTTTTTGTTTCAATGATTGAAGACATACGCTACTGCTTTTGTAACCACACACAAACATCACCCCCCCCCCACAATGTGATGCTAACCTAAAGACGCTATAATCGCTGTAACTGGATCCCCAACTCTCTCTGATCGTCATATAATGCAGCATTGTTAGTGTATCCCAGAGGTGTATAAATCCTCAGTGGATTTGACTGGAATGTAACCCGGAGGTCAATGATTAAAAAGGCAACTGTACAAGTATAAACATTGTTTGGGCCCCGTGGCAGGCGTTTCGCAGGGGGCGAGGGAAAACAATACTTCGCTTGCATCTGTATGACGGACTGTTAGTGTTAGCAGAGAGAGTGCACAAAGGCAAACAAACACCATAGCCCCAGCCCCATAAACACACACACACACACGCACTGCTGTTATGGTTTCATGAGAACCAGCTGAACTCTGAAGAGACGACACAGCGGAGTTTACCCCGCTGCAACACATCGCATGATCTGCCGCGAAGGGCCGGCCATTTCATCTAATTAAATCAAAGATGCTAAATAGCGCACGGGAAAGCAATACAATAAATCCACTTTGTTGGAGTCTATGTCTCGCACCAGACGGATCATACATCACGCAGTCAATAATGCATATTTTTTTTATTCGGCGGCCGTGGTTTTTCTCTGAGTCTGCACTTTGTGTGCTCTTCATACTACTTTCTCCGAAGCGCTCCTGCTTGCCTTAAGCACTTTTTGTTCTCTCCATGTCAAAGAGCCATTATCCATGGCCCAGCTCAATCCACACAGAGAGGCCGCCCATCCATCAGCCCATCCCAGGACTGCTGCGGAGCTTTAACTGGACTTACATAGGCAGGTGGGGTAAAGGAAGAAACACGATACCATAAATCACCGCCTCCACGAGGACGCTCCGCTCACTGATACCTGATGCGTCTGCTGGAATTATGGCAGAGAAATCCCACTGGGATGAAATTCCCTTTTCCAGCCTTGGATGTTAGGATCCATTTCAGGTTTAAGTCCCCAACTGTGTGCAACGCCACTTAAAAGAAAGTGGCCTCAAGGCTTCGATGCAGTCACAGGTGTTGATCATGCATGGGATAGAGAGTAGCAATCAAGAGAGACCATTTTTTACCCCATTTCCTGTCACATGTTCTTTTGCGTTAACTGCAGATCATTTATAATACAGTAGAGGAAGAGGGGGTGTCCTTATCGGTGGCCCAGCAGTGAGAATCAGCCACCTGCCATTGTCAAAGCCATAATTATTTAACACACTGTAGAGTGAGAGAGGTGGCACACAAAAGGGACAATGAATAAATGAACAATACTGTATCATAACAGATCAGATACAATATGGGGAAATAGGTCATGGAAGAGATAAAGACTGATAGACTGAGTTCACCAAAACCTGATCAAAAACAATAACACATTTAAGTGAGTAATTTTTTTTCAGACCCATCATTGTCTACAAATGCTTAGCAATTATACAGGAGGAATCCATCCCAACAGGTATATCAAATGACAGCAGCCTCTGTAGACCAGAATGCAATGCAACCACAAATAGTAATGTTAGGGATTTGAGTGTGGGGGATGCTAATATCAGCCACTTAAACATGTGCATTTGCTCTCATCCTGTACAAATGATAACTTTGTGTAAGTACAGACCTGTCCTCTTAAATGTTGTTGAAAGGTAATCTGGGAAATGCATGAAAGGATACGCGGCTGTTTGAAGGAATATTAAAACAAAAACTCCTGAAACGCACTGTGCATGAATAACATTGAACAGTGTCAAAATATCTCACAGTGGACTTTTCCTTTAAGAGTGTGAATCCCACTAGGACCAGAACTAAAAATGTACACGCTTGTGGAAGTGCTGCGGGTGAACACCTTCCCCCAACGGCACGGATATGAAAACTCAGCTGACACCCAATCGTCTATAAACTAAACCGTTTATATCTGTAGGTGTCTCTATATACCACGTGTGTGTGTGCGCGCGCTTGAGTGCACCTGCTGAACTAGGACCCAGATCATGCATTGCACTGAAAAAAAGAGGAGAGGCTGCCCTCCTTCTGCCTGTTTCAATCAGCTGTGCAGCCGGAGAGTAGCTGCATGGTCCATACTGTGCTTAAGCTAAGGCAGGCTATATCCAACATTTCCTGGTTGTATATTTGAATTGAAAACAATGGAGGCAAAAGAAAGTAAAAGTGCATGTTTTTTTTTTTAAAGGCCTTACCCATACTATTCTCTGTGCCAAAGAACAGAAAGTCAGTAGGTAATTTCCTGCAATAGAGGGCATTGATATGAGAGTGTGTGTGTATGAAAGGCCAACAGGAAAAGCCGCCCTGTATCTGCAGCAGGAGAGAGTTGCAGTCGCCACGCGGGCTTGGTTAGCCATTTGTCTTTGTTTTTTCAAACGGCGGGGGCAGCTGCCGCCAAAGGTCAGCAAAATGTTAGCAGAACAAGGCCCTATAGAGGCCAGGAGCACGTGCCTGTGACAAGAGGGGGACACACCCAGGTGGAGGGAGACATTTTCCCTCTCGTATGACACACCCTGGCATCTTGTTTGGCATCAAGGAGGCAGCTGCTGGTGGCCTTCTGCCGTTTATTCCCAACTCAAAGCAAGGTATGACCTTCGATAAGAGAAAAAGGTTAGGATATACTTTATTGATCTTAAATTGGGAATACTGCCTGAACGCAATGACTTCAGCCCGTGTATGAGGTGCTGTATTACAGGCTGTTTAACTTGGTTTGTTCTTCCCATCAAAAGAAATCCAGTTTTTTTTGGGCATGCAAAATAAAATACTGAATCCAACACATTATAGGTACAATTAAACTGTTGGAATGCAGCCACAAGCCAACATTTTATAAGTGGGGATATCAGGTTACACAGTCCCCTCCGGGTCTCCATCCATGTGTTGAAGTTTGCGTTTGAAGTGCCATCCTCCCCCCTGCCCTCCTTTACCCACCTACACCCCCGGCTGTAACACAACCTGGGTAAACTTACACCAACCACCCCTCAGAGTCTGTCTCTGGAGCTTTTGTGCAGAGCAGACTAGTGCCCAGGGACATGGGTGGGTGGATGGATGGATGGGTGGGTGGAGGTCAGACATGGCCCTTTGCAACTCGCACGACACAGAAAAGTGCTGATAGATGCATGGACTTTGCAGATGCCAACACACACGCATCTTTCTTCTTCTCTCATGGGATCACTCCTCAAGTCCAACATTTATTTGACAACTGTTTTTCTCATCTAATCAACTACATCCCAAGGAAATCCAGCGTACGCAAAAAATAGCGGATGAAAGCCAGCAGAGAGATGGATGGAGGAAAACAGACTGGCTGCTTTTTTTTCTTCCCTTCCACTTCTGGCAAAACAAGACAGAGTGCATGAATGAGAAAACCATCCATGTTCCTGGTGATGTGTTTCGAGCCCTTTCAAAATATATATACCCCCTCGGTTCTCCCTTCAAAAAGCCTCGGATAAAAAAAAAGCTGACGGTGAAAAATCCCATACATGTGTTTTTAAACGGGAGCAGTGAAATGACACGCTCCCTTCTAACATGTGTTTTACCTCTGTGGCTGGAAATGTAATCCATGACGGAGCTTTTTATGATTGAGCTGTACACCATACGGTCTGAACGCAATGACTTCAGGACTACAAAGCCTTGTGAATGTCTTGTTGCTGCATGTCTACTTTTTTTTTTATAGCCGTTTGTACTTATGCCATCACAACAAAATCCTGTTCTTTAGCACATATATCAAATAAAATACTGAATTCAATGCATTATAAAGGACAATACAACTGTTGCAATTCAGCCAAGAGTCTAAATGAAGCCAGCAAAATGTGCCTCTAACAATAAAAACACAGCCATTCCTTTAAACCCTCCTTCTAAACAGCTGATAACAAAAGTTCCTTCATTCATAACCAGACACAGGAAACAGAGACACAATAACAAAACCCCAAGGGAAAACAGCATGGTTTTCCAGATGTGCTCGTGCAATCACTCATTTTCTGTCCTCTGCTGTGTCCCCGACCAGACAGTAAATTACATCTGACACCGAATTCTATTTTCCTCTTGCAAAAAAACAAAAACACAACAAGCTTAAGGGCATCTGCCTGAGGGGAGGCGACCAGAAGGCCGGTAGTTATGTTCATCCCATTAACTGCACTGTAAGCGAATGGAGGCATTGTTGCTGCCCTGTCCCATGCCCAGAATAATGTGCTTCTAGTCTAGTGCTTTGTGGATGCAAATCAGGCGTGCCTCAAGGACACAGACAGCCCATTATAATGCCACTGTGGGGAATAAAGGCAGGGCCAAGTGGCGTCTTTACTGGCCATTTTTGTGTATTCACCCCTGAACAGACAGTGAGAAAACTGTCCTCGCCTGGCCTTGGTAGTGTAAATAAAACACACACACACAGGGAATGTTTACTGTGTTAACCTGGGTACATATGGCAGCCAGCCAGGCGGTGGCATGGTCTGCAGCCCCTCTACAAATGACCTTTGAACCCTACTGTCATGAAGGGGTCATTATCTTTCCTGTGTTAGTGTCTGCAGCATCCAAGACTGGGGCCAAAGAAGGAACACTGGGTACTTGGTTTAACCTCCATGTTATTCTGACAGTAAAGAAGCAGCATCAGAGTATCAGAATATGACCTTAAGCTTGAACTTTTTTTTTATAAGACTCTATATAAATGTGTTGTGTAAAAAATGATCTGATTTTGAAGGTAATTCCTCTGGCTAAAGTGGGTGCTAATGTGAGACTGGTAATAGCCACTGGCCAAACTGGCTCTCCAATGTGCTGCCGGAGGCGACATCCAACAATGGGAAATAAAACGGAGCTGCAGTGATGGAGGTGACTGATAATGGGCTCAACAGAACCACACTAACATACATTACCACTTGTGTAACCGTTTCTAAAATACATCAAATGTAATGTTTGAAAAAATGCACTGGTAAAATACAGACATTAACGCGACAAAAGCATCGGCCATTAGTAGTACCAGCCTCCTCCCTCTGAACAGGGTGGAGACACACATCTCTGTCACAGATGCAGGGGAGGAAAATGAGGGGTTTAATATCAGAAAAAGAGTGCCTGGGCTCGGCTTTGGCAACATAAGAGCAACACAACAAAAGGTTTAATGCCTCTCCCATATGGAAAGCTGCGGCTCTTTTCCCAGTCGGCCCAAACGCTGCACGCCCTTTCTCCCCAAGAAAGGGATTGTTCAATGGCCGCATAGGGGGCACACAAACCCCCCATTCAAACACCCTGCCACACAATACACACTTTCCTCTAACAGGGAACAACACATACACAATGTATCGTTTCTTAATACCTAGCGGTGCTTGCTTTAGTGTGGTTAACATAAGAGTACAGCCTCGAACCACCCAGGTTGATAAATGCTCGTTTATTTAGGATTGACATTGGTAGTTTCTCAACATGCTTATTTAAAAGAGAGGAAAAAGGAGATAGGGAGTGAAAACCTCCAGGAATAATAAAGAAATATCCACTTACAGTCAGACGGAATTCACAAAGAGGTTCCTTTCCTGTGTTCTCCAATGGGAGAGCAGATATCCCTGCCCTCGGGGGGAGGAATGAGGAGACTCCTGATATGATGGGTTTAATTATGATTTTAGAAGATATATCTAGTTAAAAACAGCCCGTTATCCTCATGTTTTCACCCGTCGTCGCCTCGTCTACACACACAATCCCGGTCCCTCTCCCATTCTTCTCTCCCTGCTGAGGAGGGAGACACGCTGCGCGTCTCCGTCGTTTCCTGTCCAGCCCCGCGCTGCCTTCAGGGTCCGTCGGAAATATCTCATATTGGAGCTGATCGCAAAGAAAATGAATGACCGAGCAAAACAGAGCGATATGAATATGTCCAACTGGGAAATAGATAAATTGCACTGTTACCCAAAATTAATATTTGACAAATAAAGTATATTTTTCTGATGATTAAAGGGTTACAAATATATATACCACGAAAGTAGGAGTTTTAGAGGAACAGTGAAGGCAGCATCAGTTTCCAGCAGATATTCCCTAAAAAAAATATATATATATACAATAATTATAATAATACAAAAAGAAGAAGAATACTTTCTGTAAAAAATAGTTTACAAGTTGATACAAAAAAATTATATATCACCCAAACTGCGGGGGATCCTGCTGATGCTCCCTAAAGCCACCCCCAGCAGACAAAAGGGGACTGGTTCCAGATTAGGAGATTATTGCATGTTATCCATATGGACACATGGCATTACTAACCCGTCAATCCCCCCTCATCCATTTTCTGAATCAGAATTACAGACAACATTTGTGAAATGTCATAATCCCCATTTCCAAATCCCATGAATTTGCCACCATGTGTTCCAACAGAGTAAATATTGTCTACCCTTTTGTGGTCTCCAATCCCTGCTCTGGGCTGGTTAACCTGAGGAAAAGTAAATTAAATGTTTGCAATTAATATACATTTGTATCTGCAAAGCATTTGTTGTGGCTTGTAACCATAGACTGCTTGTAACAGAAGACAACTAAAGAAATAAAGGGATGTGTCGCCATCTAGTGGACAAACAAAGACATTGCTTTTTGGTTTCATCCGCATTTTTGTTAATACATTTTTCTTTTCACTTTAACAAAGTGTACATGTTATGAGTCTTTGTGTGTCATACTCAATGACTCACACAGTGTAAAGAGAGTGAATTATTCACAGACATTTTCTCTGCTAGTCAGCCTTTGCTAATGTTGGGAGACACACACGTCAGTTTAGTGTTCGGTAAACATTTAAACATGGAACACCGGGTCATTGCACTTTTGGTCACTCACTTTACCTCCAACTGTGCAACATTCTGCTACACAGCAGAAGGGAATGTTACTATACTTTAACTTGCATGCTTCATATTTCACAAGGTATTCTAGTAAATGCAGGTTGTTCAAAGGTGTGCTTTTCCTTCCACTGTTTTAATCTTTGTCTCCACACAATGATACATTATAACACATAATTGGTTCACAGATCCTTCTTGCGTTATGTCTAAATGAACACAGTTAAATTAACAAAATGTGTAAGGCATCAAAGGTCACAATCTCTGGGAGAGAGCGGAAACTTGAGCAGAGGAGGCGTTTCTCTGCCACAGGATGTTTTCCCTCACGAGAGGATGTGTATCTGCACTCTCTGCACCGCCGTGGGAGTGTTGTAATCACACACACCGAGGCATTGTAGTCAAATTAACACTTCCATGGAACCCGAGTTGGTAATATCGCAGTACCTGATCGCATTTATCTGCAGCGTTTACAGTGTGCTGAAGGAGCTCGACCTGTGTTAGGTGATGAGGGAGATGTTGAGGCGAGTTGTGCAGAAGATGAAGATGAGGGCTTGCTGGATGTTCATGATCCTCCTGAGCTGCAGGTTATCTCGGGCTTCTGACAAAACACGTAAGTTTAGTCATTCATATACTCATAATTATTAGGATTCATGTGGTAGGAGAACACTGTGTGTGTTGATTGCTAAGTTTATGCATGTCAAATGTGGGATTTTAAATCAGAAATATCAGAGATGTGCCCCATCCTGAATACATCCTATCTCATTGGCTGTCTATATATTGGTTGGTGCCGAAGAGGATACTTTAAGTCTAAAAATGTCGGCTGAATTTGTGGGTTGAGATTTTTCTATGTAAACAAGTCAACAGAGAGATTTGAAAATAAAGTGTTGCCTCAATTTAAAGACTATAACAGTTTACAGAGAGTCTCTATTTCAATTCCAATACATCACATAAATCAAGACCTCCACCTCTTGAGTGGCATAATTGAGTCGTTCAGAGGATGACTCAAGTGATTCTTGTGAAATGTGAGTAAAAGGGGCAAATTTGCTGCTTTTGAATAAATTCCGTGTGGGGGTGGAGGTGCACTGAAATGATTAGATCCAAAGTGTTGATTTCACTTAGTGGCATTAGATTCTTATAAATCAATGTTTGCAGGAGTGTTAGCTGTGAAAGCATGTTTCCTTTGCAAGCTGTTTGGTTTTGGTTTCACATTGGTGTGAAAGACACGTATTTTCAGAATATATCATCAACATTTTTCTCTGCAGAAGAGCTGAAAATGATCTGCGTACCTTTCGGAGGCGATGCTTCCGTGCCTTGCCCGGAGCTGAACCAGCGAGACGCGACCTTGAACCTCCTCAAGAACGAAGAATTGATTTCCAAGCAAAATTTGATCAGCAGTGGAAACGCCACGTGGAAACCTCCGACCAAGGCAGAAGTCGAACTACATGAAAACAGGGAAAATAAATCAGTGCATTTCAAGCTGACGGGAGTGAATGCCAGCAGCTTCGGTCTCTACAGATGTGAGGCCCAAGCCTTTCACCCCCCTCCCATTGAGAACATGCCAAGTACTGTGTTCATCCTGGTACAAGTAGAAGGTAAATATCTTTTAAAGGTTGGAAGGAAACAGGGGAATATTTATAATTGTGTGCATATAGTCACTGAATACTTCCTGAATATGTTTCTTCCAGGACACCAATGCAGTTTGAAAACAAAAGCAGATGGAGGTCAAACTGATGGACTTCTCTGGATTTGGATTCTGGGGCTTGTAGTCCTTAGCATTTACGGCGTAACTGCCACTATCATTGCAGGCATCTTCTGGGTAAGCTCACGTAACACTACATGAGTCTGGAGGGGAACCGGTATTTAAACTACAGAGCAACAGCCATTGTCCTTTTATGACCCTTTGGACTATAGTGTATGTCAAATGTATGTCTTTGAAACTAAGGAAGCTTTTAAAAATACAACCAGAACCTCTGAGCTTTTTAGAGCTGGAGAAAAGACTAGATAATTAAACTAGATGCACACTAAAAAAAGAGACATATATTGTTCGTAAAATATTTTAAGACTGTCTACAAAATAAGAGACTAAAGCTTACTTATAGTACATTTTGTGATCTTGTTCAATATATTCAAATGCTTTAATATGTTTGCACTCATGTGTTTCTTATTCATTCAAAAACGTTTTTCCTTTGAAATTATGAAAGGTACATCAGGTACCCAAATCCCCAGAAAAACCCAGAAGACATGTCCCTTTCGTCCTCACTGATCAAGGGCGGATTAACCATATGGGCAACCTGGGCAAGTGCCCAGGGGCCCTTGAGCAAAGAGGGCCCTCAGTGACAAGATTATTTTTTCGGGTACAACCTCACTCATCATACATTGTTTTAAATGACATTCACTCTTCGCCATAAATAACACAGCTTTTCCATCGGGTCAAATTACTGTAGGTCTCTGTACTGTAGGTCTCACTATATGCGCTCAACTTTATTACTACGCGGCGGCGGTGTTTAGCCGAATCACAGCCCCACCCTTGAGCAACCACACAATTTCACTACATATTTTACTTTTGTAACTCTCGATGTTTGTGACAAATATAACTCCTCGTGTACTTGTACAGCCAGCTCGTCATATTTTGGCATTAAGTGGGGTGCTGCTCTGAGGTTTTGAGTGATATTACCTAGGTCTTCTTGAGCCATACACTGTCTTGAGATCTTATCCATTGTATCTTTGTCTTGTGATTTTTGACTGAAAGGGCAAAAGGCTAGACCTACTTTGGTTGAACTTTGTAGCTGCGTCCCTGCTTTTGACAAATAGGTGTGCGGTTGACATGCCAGATTGAATGAACATTTTAAATATTGGTCATGTTGGGTAGACGTGTTGGAACGTGGGTTGAGGTGCCCTGAGCTCTCATTGCCCAGGGGCCCCTGGAGGTACTAAGCCGGCCTTGTTGGCAGCTCCGTCAGTGGAAAAGTACTGGAAGCAGTTACGGCACACAAACAAACCCGTATAAATGCCAACAGTCGACAGACAGAAACCCGTTTACTGCTTACTCACTGTCGAAGGAATGCACAGATTTTTCAGCTGCTATACCTGCACAAACAAGAGCATTACAATCCTCAGAGAAATGCACCACTAACTCCACTGACGAGCAAAGAGTCTCCCCGTGCTCATCTGCTATTTGCACATATTTGGCTGGATGCATACCATTTGCAAATGAGACTCACTGCAAATACATCCATTCACAAAGATGCAATAAACAGTGAAACTGATACCAGCTTCAGACATTTGGTAGCAAAGGGTTTGCTGAATTCACACCGGGGGCTAGCAAACGTTTGGCTTTATGTGTGCCACAATACTGCTGAGGTCAACCAAAAGATGTATCCCTTCGTTTATGTTGGTTTCATTTTTAAGATGAGAAGAAGTTATATGAAACATAGATCGTGTCGGAGGATTCTGTTTACTGATTGGCTGCAAGGAGTTTAATTTGGTTGCTTTGTAATGAATTAAAGCTGCTGGGATCGAAGCAGCTGCCTCGGATTCCCATGGACATTGCACGGCAGCTGGCAGTGTAATATCATTACTACAATGTGTTTCATGTATAGAACCTTGTTATGGGGTATGCAAGTGATAGGCAGTTCATGAACACCATCAGAGACTGCAATCCGTTCTATGGATTGTCACAAAAGAATGCTGTGTGAGATCAAACGTGTTAACATTTTATTAGAATCTATTGTAGCCACTACAGCGCAGTGGTCATAGGTCACTACTTGGATTCTGTAAGAACTTTAGGTTACTATACGTCTTTGTTTTGAACGTTCAAGACTATAATAATAATCAAAAATGAAATATGAACTAAATTAAATGATCAAATAAAGTGAACATTTCACAGTGGTTATTGAGTTGTGTGGGGTTTATTAACATGTTTTAAACATGTTTGAATGGCGATATACACAGTGATAGATTAAGGCCTAACAAGTTTATAATAAATACAATTATATTTATTTTTAAATGTTGTCAGACAATCATAGGAATTTGGATTCATGTGGATCAACAATACGTTCCACTTCATTTTTTTATTTCAGGTCCAACCTAATGAAGAGTATATTTTTCACTGTTGTCCAGGTTCATAAAGCTGCATAGAACAACACCATAAGAGCAGGGTGCAAAGTATCTACCATATCTTTTCCCGGGTCGCCGAGGATGCTGGCGTTGTTTGTTCGCCGCTCCTCCGCCCCAAATATTGTTCTTTAGTCCAGATTAGAACCTCTCCTGTCTGGCTCTCTACTTTTGAAACGTCAGTCATCAGCAAAAATAGCAGCATCTCTATATCGAATCAACACAGATCTTTGTGTTGTCATCTCCTACCTGCTGGCTCTTTCCTGCTCATCGGTCCCTAGCCCGCTAGCTAGCTAGCATTATCGGACCTAGCAGGCTGCTACCTAGATGCTCCTCGGCTCCCTGAAGTCTGCTGAGCTAACAATTCTGTCTCCACCCCAACTCCACCCTAACTCCCCTAACTCCACCCTAACTCCGCGACCCGTGTGGGTCTTCCCATCCCGCTGCGATCAACCGGCTTCCCCGCTGACATCGTTTCTCCCTGCGGCCTACAGCTGGTGGCTATCAAGCTAGCTAACAAGCTAGTAGGCTGGTCACCCGGCTCCCACTCTGCACCAGGCTGTCAGCCCCTCCTACGATTCTCCTCCGAAAACCACTGGAATCATTCTCCTGATATGCTGTGGATTATCACTCTCATTTTATCTGGACTCACACCGCTCCTTCTTCCACGGTCATCCGGCTCCTGGTCTCTGCTGCCCGGGTCCCCAGCATTAGCTAGCTCCGTGCTAGCGCCACTTCACGGGATCATGCCGCCGCTCTACTCCCTGTCAGATCTCCACTCCTTTAATAACCGCCTGCCTCCGGACTGCATGGACATCCTCGCAGATAATGAAATACTCCGCAAACGCCGTCCTCCACACAGAGGCTCTGGCCGTAAGTTTTTATTTCATTCCACGTCTCCACACTCCATCCCGTCCATTCGGTCCTGTCACACGCCCACACTACGCCATCACAACAAAAAACACGTGAATCTGACCAATCTCCTTCCACGTTTCCCCCGGTCCAACACCACACCCCCCCCAATGCAAACGGTTCAGGCTCAGAGCAAGGCCCTTGCTCAAACACAGGCTCCATCCACAATAAAAAGGCACCATTCTGGGAATGAATTCCATTAAAGACAATAAGCCTGGACTTTTCTGGTATTCTGACCGAAAACATGGCAAAAGCCCCTGGACTATTTTTCTTTAAATCCAAATCCACCCCCAGCAGGGGGATTCCACATACCATTGGACAAACCCTCGCCCCACAAGGGGGCTGGGGTGGTGGTATAGCTGCTATTATCAGAAAGGGGAATTAAAATTTACATATCCCTCCCTTGATGGCTTATTCATTTGGTAACACCTATCTTTAAACTCTCTGGTCCCACTCCCTGGTCAACAGACCATCATTACCCATCCCCCGAAGCCAAAACCCCCTCCTTTTTCTCCGACCTCTCTGACATTCTCCCACTCAGCTTTCTGCCCATATTCCCCATCTGGTTCTCCCTCTTAGGTGATTTTAACATTTCATATTGGACGACCCGACCTTGGCAAATATGCCCTGCTGGAATTTAAGGAAAACACCCTTCATTGCATGGCAACTTCTTCTCAAACACATCAACTCCCAACCACCACAGCCGGCACGGAGGGTTGGTCTGCTCCACTGGTGTGGCTCATCCGCGACCATCCATCATCTGGGTCCAGCCTCCAATCTCCACGGTCTCTTGATTCCCTGGCCATCATCATGGGAGCATTCAACATCCCCATCCCGCCCAAAAAAAGCAAACGCACCAATAACCTCCCAGAAAAACCTCAAATCCATCTCACCTTCAGCCAATCCGGACTGCCTCCATTACCTGCAAGATTGTCATGGTCTCCCCCCCCCCCCACTTTTCTGAAAACCCATCTGAACTTGTGGACTATATAACAGCACCCTCTCCTTCCTGTTCTCAATGAACTGTGGGCCCCCACAAAAACTAAAAATGTCTCTTTTCATTCACTCGCCCCTGGTATACCCCCGAACTCCGCCCATATGAAAATCAAGGAAACGTCAACTTGAACGCCAACACAAGAAAACCTTCACTAACAGGTCCATCTTACAAAAAAAATTTTTCTTTTTAAACCCCCAAAGACTATCTCCAGCAGTACAGTAATTGCCACTCAAAGCAGCCCGGTCTAATTACTACTCACAACTCATTCAGTCTGGCTCCACAACCCAAGCGGTCTGTTCTCCACCATCAGCAAACTCTCAAACCCTGTGACACACGCCACTTCGTCCTTCACCCCTGAACAGTGCAACTTCCTTTCCTTTCGTTCTTTCCCAAACCAAAATCAGCAACTTTACCAATCTGACACCCTCATCAGCACCCCCACCTCCTCTCCTGGGCTCCCCCCCTTCACCTCACAGCCCCTGTCCCACTTCTCCCCTGTGACCCCCATGCAAACTGTCCCACTTTCATGACTGGAATTAACTCCACCTGCCACACCTTGACCCAATGCCCTCCAAATTTGTTAAAGAGAGCCTCCCTGCCATCTCCCAAGCTCATCGCCACCATCATTAACTCCTTCCCTCAGATCTGGATCAGTCCCCACTCTCTCAAACTGGGCTGGCTGTCACACCCATTCTCAAAAAGGACCTGGACTCCACACCTGACGTCATGTCCAGACTTCCGGGCCCATCTCAAATCTCCCCTTTCTGTCAAAAATAACTTGAACGTTCCATTGCCTCACAACTAAAAAAATTTTCACCTCAGCTCCAATGACCTCTTTGACGCATTTCAATCCGGTTTCCGATCAAAATACAGCACAGAAACACTCTTCTGAAAATCACCAAACGAACCTCCTCCTCTTCCTCTGACTCCGGGCAACCGTGAACATGCCTCATCGCTCCTCGACCTCACCGCCAGGCATTCAACACCATCAACCACACCATCCTGCATGTTCCCTCGCTTCGAATCATTCCACTCAGGCATCGCACTGACACTGCACTCTCCTGACTGGAAAATTCCTACCTCACCGGACAGACACAGTTTTATCAAACCATCAACAACTGCACCTCTTCCACTGCTCCTCTGTCCCAAGGACGTTCCCCCAGGGTTCGGTGCTTGGCCCTCCTGCTCATACTTACAGCTCCCCCCTTGGGCAACGAATAATTTGTCGCACACAACCTTCAATTTCACTGGTACGCGGATGACATCCAACTTTATATCTCAACGAAAAACCGATCACCCCCACAACACACTCCCACTCTCACCAACTGGTCTCTCAGAAATAAAAGCATGGCGATGCCAAACAAAACTGATCTCCAACTTGAACAGTGCCAAATCAGGACCATCATCGATCATCGGCCCCCCATCCGGTGATCAAAACGACATCCGATATTTCAACTTCCCCCACCATTGACAGCCACACCTCTATCTCCCCCCTCGACGAATCCGCAACCTCGGAGTCGATTTTCGACCAGTCAGCTCAAATTCAACCCACATATAAATCACATCACCAGGACCGCCATTTTTCCACCTCAAAAACATTGCCCGTCTCCCGCCCATTCTCTCCTCCTCTGCTGCTGTAAAACCCTGATTCAGTTGCATTCATCACTTCACGACTCGACTACGCAATAGCATCGCTCGTATGGCATACCATCCAACCTCCTAATCAAACTCCAACCATATCCAGAACTCTGCTGCCGCCTCCTAACCCACGCA